AATAAAAAATATAAATATAAATATAGATATAGGAGACATAAATGTTGCAAAGATGTGAGGCTTTGGCCTAGCTTACGACAAACGTTGGGGATACCCACACAACCACTCACCGTCTGACAGCGGGGATAGAAACTAACAGGCCACTGATATCGGTTAGCCAGCCAAACCCATGGAGAGTCAAGTGGACCTCATCCTGGAAGGCGAACAACACCACAGAATCCCATCCTTCATGCTCAGCATTCCAAAGTAGACCCGCGAAGTATCACACGTCCTCCACGTCTCATACACCGGTGGTCAAGAACCTGAAGTTGTCTCAGATTCTGTACTCAAAGTGACCAAGTCTTGCAGTCGCATAGTAATACATTTTACAATATAACTTGATGCAACCGTCCTTTGAAACACAATGATGTATCTTCTTGACGCCACTGGCTTTGTTCGTCACGCTGTCGTCATAAGTAATGCGATTTCTCAGAGTGCTGTATGGTTCCACAACTTCCAGCGTCTCTTCTTGAATCCTTAGGACTTTTAAGCTTTTGAATCTGGACACATTCTGGAAGCCTGAACAGCCTTGATAAGCTTTTCCGGTAACCCCTGCCTTTCTATTTCTTCCTCGAAAAAGAGACCAGTGTCGACAAAATTCTCGCTCAAAGAGAGCTAAACAACGGGAAAAGAAGTCAAACAAAAACTGAGTAAGTACATACCACAGCATCAAGGAAGGCTTTTGAAGTGCCTCTCATATACTCTACCAATTGTATGAATACAAGACATGTTGAGAAAGTCAAATAGGTCGTGCCCTTGTACTCAAGAAGCACCAACTGTGTTGGGCGCCATAAGCACGAAGAGGCTATAACACCGGACGGAGAATGAAGATGTGACCCACACAGCCCCTTCTCGGCCCTCATCGGATCCAGTCCCCGGGTTCTCTAGTAAGACGACACAAAATGAGTTATTCAAAGAGACTAGCTAGCGTAGCAGTCAAGTTAATTTCCACTGCCATTTTGAGCATTTTTTAAAAAGTCGGCAATACTACCAACAAACTACTAATCCCGTCGAAATCACAAAGTCGGTTCAAATAGATCAAGTGGAGCATAAGGTTGACGGAAACTGGTGGACTGGGTCTACCTGATGAGCCCCAAGAAGGACGAAACCGTTCGTGGACTGTCGAAGGATTTTCAGCAACCTAGTGAGTAGTATATTAGACCAAATCTTTCCTAACTGAATTTTGAACGGGAATACGTGCGTTTTGACATAAGTAAGTGTTTCATTCAACTCCATGTAGACTATAAGCTCAAATATTCCCATACTGAAAAATGATGACTGGATTTGTCTCCATGGGACAAAGAAAAACCACCTTGGTTTTCTTGTTAGGTTCCCGTGGGGGATTCTGTCCAGTTCAGTGGCTCTTCAGTCTGGATGTACGAAATTTTAAGCTGCAATTGGACCACCTTTGATCTGAGACAACCGGAAAATCCGAGAGAAGTCAATGTCAAATATTAACCCATCCAATTGATTTTTTACTGTTCGGTTCTGAAAACAGCTGATTTTGATTAGGGACGGTCTGCACGACTCCTAACTCACCGACAACTATTTTTGGCTTCGGTTTTTCAATGTAGCGTCTAACTAGTAAACCATGTGTAGTGGTGTCCGGCTCCTTGCATTCTATGGCTCTCTTTTTCGGTCGAATTACCTAGCCTATGGGTGCGTCCTATTGTCGAAATCGCTTGCCTTGTTTATCTCTGTCAGTTTGCTCGTTTGTTTCAATGGCTATTTAAAGGCTTCATATGTAACTTTGAGTTAGTACGTCTTTGTCTCCGAATGCTAAGTGCCGACGCGTCTATTCTACATCGGGTGAACAATCTCGTTTGCGTACGCGCTGCAATACCTGATTCAAGGTAGGTCCGTTCCCTGCCCTGGTCATTCCCGTCTTCTTGGATGGGAACTCAGAGACCCATCAGTGGTTAGAGACATTGTTAGACATGGTCCTGTCGAGCCCTCAGTAACGCCAATGCATCCAAGCCGTTGCCTTCAATGCTTAACTCCTCTTAGAATCTCCCCGATGAAGAGCCATCTGACATCCCTGTATCCGCGCCTGAGATATACCGCCCCACCACTCTATCCCACTCCTCCATCCCCTCCAAATCGTCGGCGAAGAATACTGTGCAGCCTGTGACCAATGTTGGCTAGATACTACGGTTTTCAAAGCTGATGATGGTTGTAAGTGCCACTGGAAGATTTGCCGTCCGTTTGAAGTAATCAGAAAACCAATCAAATTGATGACTTGTTCTCTACCAACCGAATGAGTCGATTCTCCCATCTGTTCCAAAGTGCACACATCCGTTCATGTTCCCCTGGATTATCAAGTAGAGGCAAAGCTAAATTTATTTCGATGTCTGTTAAACGTTCAGTTAGCACCTATATAAACTCTATTTAATCCAGACTGTCAACACAGTATCCTCGTGAGCAGGCTCAAAGTCCCAGACACAGGCTTCCTCTATTGTAATCATCACAGCAAGACGTAGAGGAGAAATTCAGTTGTATGCAAGTTTGATAAATAGCTAAAACGTTCCTTGTGCAGATTTCATCTTGTAAGTGAAGCCAATCTGTGCTGAAAAGCCACGAAGCACTGTACAGCTGTTTCATCCTTATTGGGAATCATCAGCAGTGCGCACCTCACGAAACTCCGAAGAGTCTCGAACCCGCGACCTCCCGGCTAGTAGTTTGAACACTTAAGCGTTCGGTCACGAGTGGCTGATCAGCAGTGTGATTAACTCGCACTTAGATAGGATATAACGCCGCTCATCGTTCATTCACGAGATCCACGTCACGCGGTCACAGGTGTTGACTGGCTCCTCGAGCACCGACGTCTCAGATGGAAGTTTCACTCATCAGGTGAAGTTTATTCTTCCACTGAGCTACTTATAGAGTGTCGGTAGTGTGAAGAGATCTGGGTGAAAATGTTGACGGTTGAGATTCGTCCTGACCGCGGGGCCAGTTTGTTCTGAAAAGTCTGGAAGCTTTGTACCGTCGCTTCATTCGTATTGAACACCGTCAGTAGCGCCCGCCTCACGAAAACCCAGTGGTGAGTTCCTAGTCCGATACCTTTCGGCCTCGACCGACCAACCAGCAGTTTGACTAGCTCCCTCTTTTTGGCTTCCTGGTGCTTCAGTCTGAGACTCAATTACCTCACGGTCTATCTTGGGTGACACTCACCGAATCAGTCTCGGAGTCTCATTGGAGGGGTTGTAAAACCATGTAGGTGGAAGTAGAGATTTTAAAGATGGTTAACTCCCCCGGGTGAAATTACTGATTTGGCATCAACACACAGTTGAGGATGAATCCCCTCCCACCCCTCACCCCGAAAAAAGTAAGGGCATGCAGGGAATAAAACCCGTTAAGTAGCCTTTGAAGTTGGTAATGTTTTGGAATATTGGTAGCTTGGTTGTATTGGTTGGTAATTGATTAGGTGGCTGTTGATCTGTTCGCCGAGCTTGGCAATTAATTTGCAAACGTTTCGTCACCATTCGAGGCGACATCTTCAGTGCGCTGTTGGTTGGGTAGTTCCTCTCTTTGTGCCCGCGTTTATATAGTCTATAATGAGCAGCCTTTGCGCTGTAACCTGGATTCTGATTGGCCCATTCTCGATCTGTATTGCGTCGTGGTCGGCTTCTCTGTTGGTTTGCGGCGTACCTCAATAGAACAGCAATCTACTAAAAATAGGAGGCACTCCGCAAACCAACAGAGAAGCCGACCACGATGCAATACAGATCAAGAACGGGTCAATCAGAATCCAGGTTACAGCGCAAAGGCTGCTCATTATAGACTGTATAAACGCAGGCACAAAGAGAGGAACTACCCAACCAACAGCGCACTGAAGATGTCTCCTCGAATGGTGACGAAACGTTTGCAAATCAATTGCCAAGCTCGGCGAACAGATCAACAGCCACCTGATCAATTACCAGCCTTTGAAGTGTCAGGTCAAACTTGCTGAAAGTTCGAATAGTTCGGAGAAGTTTGTTAAAAACAGAATGGGAGAAATTTCGCCATTGACAACCAACTGAATTTCAAGCGCCTTTTCGACAACACATTGTGTGTTGGACGTCGAGTTTCAACATGAGCAAATTTCATCAACAAACCAGCCTCAGGGCACCGAGCTTTGTTCCGGAAAAAGATGGCAAATTAATTTTCCAGATGCTGTTATTTCGCCTCTGGCATGAAGTATCCAGTAGGTTGACCTGGCGCTACTCATTCACTGTGTAGTTCCAGTGATAAACGGATTGAAACGCCGAACTTTTATTGCTTATGGATCACTCTCACGCAAGAGTTTTCGAGATGAATACATCAAAACAAAATCCTTTACAGGTATGTACATAATACACTACTAATAGGGTTGCTGAAAATTCTTCGACAGCCCACAACCCGTTTCGTCCTTACTGGGGCTCTTTAGGTAGGCGAAGTCCCCGAGTTTTCGTCAACCTTGTGGTCTAATTGAACCAAATCAGGTGGTTTCTAAATTTCTGGGCTTGCTTTGATTAGACATGTGATCTAATCACGTGAGCCGGGGGTATCGGTTGACTCAGCTGTCTAGACGATGATTACGACAAAGCAGTTCAGCTAAACAAACTGTTTGGCGGGACAAACTGCCTCCATTCAAAAAAACGTAGACTGACTCCATTTATCATCTGATATACTGTGTATAAAGTGAGTGAAAGCGTTTCAACAGCTCACGACCGGATTTGCCTTCCTTGAAGCCACCAGGTAGGCTCAGTCCTCAAGTTTTCGTGCGTTCTGCTTGAACATAAGTAACAAAAACCTCGGGAGGCACACTAGTTGTTAATGGTGTCATCGTGTCATCGTGGGCGAATTAACGACAGATCCACTCAATCTGTTTCGCGAGGCTACTTGTTATAGCTGCTGATTCGCCCGTCTGTGGTATCTGCGGCTGACCCGCTCCAGTGCCTAGTGCCGGAAAAAAGACTCATAGAAGGGAACACAACCGCTATGGTCCGAACAAGCGAGTGCGAGAGCAAAAGTTACAACGGCCACACGCTATTCAAGGGGACCTTCTGACATTGATCCAGCCTAAGTGGTAGGCGTTAGTGAACACCCGTCAATATCGATCGTGCCTCTATGAACGCAGATCACATTCGTTCATGCTTCTGTGGCGTGCATGAACACTCATCGGCTTTTGCTGAATGAATGATTAAATGATTGACTGGCCTTGATGCTTGCCGGCTTTCTTATTGAGATTTTGGTGCAGTTTTAGGGTCTCAATAGATTCCGGGGGGTTCCTTTCACGAATCTCACCTTCTTGATACTACTGCTGACGTTGGGTTTCACATGATGATTACTAGCCTGGCGGGACGAAATGTAAGACGGCATCCTTCCGATTGGACAATTTACACCGAATAGGGGAGGTGCACACTTTGGGTTTCACAGCAGCGGCCGCCGTCGCCATCATTATCCACATCACCCTTGACTGCACTGAGGTATGAACCCCGGGTGGCTGACGTATGAAGTGAGCGAGTACACGGGTGTTGGCTGCACCTGTCTGACGGCGTCTAGTCGGATAGTGCCCTCTTGTATCACATTTTCAGGGGTGAAATCATGAATCACATGAATTGTGAGAACAAAACCCGGCTCAAATGCTTCTCCTGTTTGGCTCAAATAAACGAGGATGATGGATTCAGGACAGGGGGAGGACTGTTCAGCAGTTAGTTTCCAACCTCAGATAACCCAAGAAATAACACAACCAAGGTATGTTCCTGGTTCGTCGTTCGAGGCATCCAAAGTTCTGCCCGCGTCACTCAAGCGGGAATATGTTCACCTGTTCACACGCTCACCTCCTACGTCGGATGTGCGAAGTTCGAACCCCGGCACGGTCATTGGATGAGCACTGCTCATGAGCTCTAATAAGAGCGAAACCGGAGTTCAGTGAACTCATCAGGATGATTGCGCGAGGACAGGAGAACGATTGTTCAAACGAGAGTCATGTATTTTACAAGAACCCCACAACCACCAACACCTGAATCAAATGACAACTATTCACATTGGGTCGGGTCTCTATCGTTGTATCGCATCGAACACATGACGGATGTGATCTAGGACGTGTGAGTGAAGCTTCTACTGAACTGAAAACAAGAAATAAAAACTGCTTTAGGCCTAGAAAATTTGATTTCGCAATAGTGACATCAACAACCGGATTGAATTATTCGGTTTTGAGTATCTGGAGCACTTTGTCGAATTTTGTTGTGTAGACCGGACACAAGTGTCGTGTATTCGATTTGGTCAAAGTTGGAAAAAGTTATACTTTGAGCACACTATAGCCACCAAGACTTTTAACCACTTGAGAAGTTTTGATTCAGCTAATTCAGGGACATGTTAGAGAACCGGAATGAAGTGGTTGAAAGCATGTGTTGAACAAGTGATTCAAAGCCTGAAGCTTCCGACAAATCAGCTACTGGGACAAATGCTCCACTGCGTAAAATTCTGACATCAAGACCTAGCGATGTGGAATCAAAGTATCTCTTAAAAGGCCAGGTTCTTTTATCAAACATGTGCAAGACTCAGTTTCTGAGAGCTGAATCAAAAAGTGGCGTGTAACGTTGGATAATTCATCTTTCCACATTCCGGGTAATTATCGAGCAACTAAGGTTAACGAACATAGTATCTTAGTGGTTATGATGCTACTGGTGGTAACTTCATATGTTGATTGTAGAATCCCTGAACATTTGAGCAATTGGACAACCGGAAGTCACCCGTCCGTAGGATGGGTGGGGGTCACTCTTGATGGGGGTGTTGAAATACGAATAATAATAATAATAATAATCATAGACAGCATGACATCAGTGTTCAACACCGATGCTTCACTGCCTTACAACCGTGATTTAGTTCATGATTGTACGTAGGCCGTGATACTTTAAGGGCATCGGCACCTAGACAGAAGAACGATTATGGTCCTCAACCAAAGCCTTTGGCCCAAAGGCCTTACCACAAGGCAGCGCTGTTTGGTGGGAAATGCAAATGCATTACCGCTTCTACGGAACAAGTCGCCACGTGCTCTAACCCCGAACCTGGAGAGATAGGAGACTGTGCTTGTCAGACCTCTAACCAACGACTAACCTGGTACTATGTGAGTATCGCGGGAACATCCCTCAGTATAGCTCAATGAATCGCTGAGGTGCGCAAACCCTCACACCACGGTAAGGTCCAGTCTCTTCGTGACGGAATGCATGACCCTTGAAATTTGTAAGTTCAGTATGAACGTTACTACCTTGTTTATATGAAAGAATGATACAATCAGTTAGGTGATTGCCAGGCGGGAAACGTCAGTTCATGAAACTGGTTGATCGAAAGTGAGTTCATCGCCTCGCCATAGATTACTTGACTAAAAAGTTGTACGTAGCACACTATCTATAAGGTTACTGAATATTATGATGGCTCATGGCCGGGTTTACCCTTCTTGAGACTCATCAGGTAGGCGCACTCCCCAAGTTTCAGTCAACTTAATGTTCTACTTGAATCCAATTTGGACAGATTTCGATAAATCCACCCATTAGTTTATCGATTTAACTTTAATGGGAGACTAGCCAGGAACCCAGCTGAATTCCTCGTCTGTGATGTTCTTAAGCAACTGAATGCACAGCCCCAGACCGCCTCATGTTTCAGTTGGTACAATATTCAAGATATCGCGATACATGTATAGACGTAATGCACTACTCATAAGGTTGCTGAATACTCTGATAGCCCATGACCGGTTTTACTTCTCTTTCTGGGGCTCATACGGTAGGCGTAGTCTTCGAATTTCCTTCAACCCCATGTTATACCTTAATTTAAATTGAACGGAATTCGACAACTCGACTCATTTGCATACCATCCCCGCTGAATCTTTCATTTGTGATGTCTTTCTCAAATATACCACCAAGGGGAGCATGAAGCGGCCTGGTGCAGTGCATTCAGTTGGAGAAGAACGTCATAAAAGAGTGCTTAAGCTGGATTCCCCTGAGACTGCTGTCAAAAGCAAAGTCGTGTGCAAGCGAGACTAGTTGTTGAAAATATACACCTAATAACCCAAATTCCAGAATGTACTTCATTCCAGTATTTATGACTCCCTCAGTCTGAGTTGATTCTCTTCGTTGTCCTTGACAGTGGTCCCCCGAGGGAGAATTACCCCCCAAGACTGCTGCACGGGGAGCTTTTTGGGAGTGAAATCTATCGGTGCTATGACTTGGGACACGTGCTGCCTGTACTGTGCACATCTAGAGTACTATTACAGTTATTATCGATTCTAAACCATGAGCTAATCGAACGTTCTACGGGTCAAACAGCTCTCAGGGCTGGCCAATTGATTACGAGTAATTTGAAATAACCGTCGGGTATTCACGTTCGCATAGGTAGGGTGCGTTTTGATGTTACTTCTTGGCTAGAATACCGTTATACAACAATTAAATATTCATTTACCAGGTCGATTCTGTTTCGTAGTTCAGGCATGAGAAAAAGTCCCAAATCTGTCCAGCACAAAAGGGATAGATGTCGACGTTTGGTCAAGTTTTCGAAAGAAACACAACACCGAACAGATTGTGGAAGGTTAAAACAAAGCATCAGCGACGAATTCATCTGCGCGAATACTTTCTTTCTGTCACTAAACTGATTGCACTGCTCTCGCGCCAATAAATCACTTCGTAAACTTCATATGACTAAATCGAATTGAAGTACCACATGTTGGAAACCCGGTTGTGTTTTTGTATCACATTCTATTGCCCTGAGATATGAAGCCCACTCATAAAATTGAATGAAACACAACAGGGATTGAATAGAAAAACTGTCCAACTGAATGCACCTAGTGACTGATGAAGATAACAGGATTGAACTGCTTTTTTCCAGAGACGATAAACAGAAATGGCATCGGCTACTCGCAGCCTCCGGTTGACTACTTCACACAGGTTGAGGTTACCTATCGAAGGATTCAATACTGAACTGGATGAAGTGATGGATAGATTGGTGGTGCAGGTTAGCATCTGGGCTTTTATTCCACCTTGAAATGAGTTGCATAGTCGACAGATTTGCTTCGACATTCGAACAGCACAATTCGAAACGCTTTCCTTTCAACATAAGTTATAAACAATTGACAGAGTCTTTGAAATGCACTCATTTCAAAGCTGATGTGATTCTGGTGGAAGACCTAACTGAATGGCAATTGATTCTCTTTTATAATTGGGGCGTTTCATCCTCGAGTTCCTGTCCTACTTTTGTTTTACTGGAAACCGATTTGTACACAGACGTAATAGACTACTCATAAGATTGCTGAAAACTCTTGCCCAACACCGGTTTCACCCTTCATGAAGCTCACCAGGTAGGCACACTCCCCGGGTTTCCGTCAAACTTATGTTCTGCTTGAACCCAAATTTCACGAAATTAGCGAAATACACTCATGTGCAAACAAAACTGGTTCTACGAGAAACTCAACTGAAACCCAGCTGAATCTCGCGTTTCCAGGCAACCGAATGTGCTGCACCAGGCCGCCTCATGTTTCAGTCGCTAGGATATTCGGGATATTGCGATACTTGTATCTTTGTAATGTACTACTCATAAGGTTGCTGAAAATTCGTCGACAGCCCACGACTGGTTTCGCCCTTCCAGTTCGGGCTCATCAGGTAGGCGCAGACCGCGTTTCTACTTGAACCCGAAGTGCACGAACTTAGAGAAACACACTCATTTGCAAACAAATTTGGTTTTGCCTGGAAGCATCGCAAACGAGAGATTTAGCTGGGTTCCAGGTGAGTCTCTCACAAAGCCAAATTTGTTTTCAAATGAGTGTATTTCATTAGGAAATAAAGTTTTTTGTGCAGATTTTTTGATATGTGATGTTTCCCAACTTTCTGGAACCTTCTCGGTGTTGAGAAAGTGCATTCTAGTCGGGTGAACTGGAAGAAAATATACCTTTGATCTGTCGGTTTCTTTCAGGCTGATAAAACGACACCTCGTGCTAAAGGCGATTCGCACTAGATTGGCACTCGATCGATAGTTGGCAGAAAATGCCAATAAGTGAAACCGTTCAAGCTGTCCCCCTTCTTTTTAAATACGAGTATTCTGGTTTAAACGCAAAAAAACAACAAGCGTTTGACTCGTGGTTTTAGGTCACTATGGCACTAGTTTGTTCCCATTTGTACTAGGTGTCCTTTTTTGTACCTGCACGCTTCGTACTGAGGCAGAGAGAACGCACACACTCAAGTGCGAATGTACTGGGCGGGATGTCCGGTCCGACGGCCACATACTTTGAGAGAGTGGTGGGCGGAAAACTGCTTGAATGACCGTCCAGGTATCAGTTCACAAACATGGGGATCGAATTAAAATGTGTGGCGTGTGTTTGAACAAAACTACGAAAAAGTTTTCATAAGTGGTCAGGTTTTTTGTTGCAGAATAATTAACTCTCCGTGTGATTGTCATAGGGGCGAGATGGCCCAAGTGGTTAGAGCGCGAATTTACTGACCGGAAGGTCCGTGGTTCGAACCCGACCTCTGTCTCTCGACTTCTCTTGGGCAACCTGGCAGTATCCTCGTGCTTCCTTCGGGTGGCATGACAGTTAGGCACCGAAAGAGATGCTGCAGCTGAACGACGAATGTACGGTGCCCAATTGATATCTGGATAGTCAAATTTAGCGTTTTATTCGTTTTGCTTCACTTCCGACAGTTTGATTCATATTTTCGGCATGGCCACGCAAACCAGACAGATTCTGACAGATCTCCTCACACAGATAACTGATAAAACATCACCCTCTGGCGTTTCAACTTCGTTTCGTCAGTTTGGTCTGCCTGCTGACATGTCCCTCAACGGTTCGCTAATCCAAACTGTCGTACACGATCAGTTGTGACAACAGGACCGGCACTTCGTTTTCCACGGAAATGGCAGTTTTCAATGATGACTACTCACATTCGGTTGGTTAAATAAGTTTCTGGCTCTTTTTGTCCAAAAATGGGTAGTTTAATTAAAATTTGTAGGTTCTGTGGGAACCGTTCACACAATGTGTAGTACTATGTGAGTATCACCTACCCATAGGGTAGAATTCAATGGTATCGATTAGAAGTGCTCAGTAGGTTCGGTGGTGAAACTTGGACTGGGAAAATAAACGAATGTGTTGGGGGGTTGGTAGATGAGACTTCTTGTTCTCACCAACGCTTTGAATAATACTCATTCACTCCACTAGCCCTTACGGGTTAATATTGAACTCTCCGCAAGTCTCGCGAAATAGTACGGTGGTCATCTTCGGAGGGATGAATATGCCTGGGGCAGAAATTAATTTACCTGAAGAAAACACTAACTGTGGTGGAATTGAGCGCCGCATTGATTGAATTGGCTGTCTTTGCTACCATGGTAAAAGGCGACTGGAAAGTCGGAACAAAGTACAGTTTGTTAGAATGGTACACCTCACCAATACGATTGACATTTCCTATTCAAACGTGTTTATCCAAGCCGAAATTACATGTGATTTCTGATCACATAGAGTTGGCTGCGTACGGCCCCGTATGAGACCCAAACATTTTTGTGTTGTTTGACTGGATGCATTGAAAAACAAGTGACAAAGCTTTTAGTGAGGTTTGCAACACTCTGTTCAAAAGCGAACTGTCCTGTATTGATACTTGTATATCTTTGTAATGTACTACTCATAAGGTTGCTGAAAATCCATCGACAGCCCACGACCGGTTTCGCCCTTTTTGGGGCTCCTCAGGTAGGTGCAGTCCCAGGGTTTCCGTCAACCTTGCCTGAGAACATCACAAACGAGAGGTTCAGTTCGGTTCCAGGTGAGTCCCTCGGAAAGCCAAATTAGTTTGTAAGTGAGTGCATATTCGCTAATTTCGTGCAATTTGGTTCCAAGTAGAACATACGGTTGACGGAAACCCGGGGACTGCGCCTACCTGACGAGCCCGAACTGGAAGGGCGAAACCGGTCGTGGACTGTCGACGGATTTTCAGCGACCTTATGAGTAGTACACTACAAAGACACAAATAGTATCCATGGCATCGAGGACGGATATACAAAAGCTGGCCACAAACCGCCAGTCGCCTTAAAGATGATGCAAGCAGTTAGCACCGGAATTTAGTCACCGTCTTGCAGCTTCAGAGGAACCCGTTCAACTTCTTCCTTAAAAAATCGATATCTGGTTTCGATTCCGTCGGTTATCGATTAGTTTCAAAAATCGAAATTTCCCACAGAGTCGGCTGCGTGCGGCCCCGTACGAGACCCAAACATTTCTTGTGTTGTTTGACTGGATGCATTGAAAAACAAGTGACAAAGCTTTTAGTGAGGTTTGCAACACTCTGTTCAAAAGCGAACTCTGAGGTTCGCTAGTCTAGATCTTTCGCAAAAGAGTGCGAACACGAATTTTGACACAAGGTCTTGAGTCGTCCGCTTTAGAGGAACCTTCGCCCCTTTTTTGAGAAATACACTCATTTGCAGATCAATTTGGTTTTCACGGGAGACTCAACTGAATCTCTTGTTTATGATGTTCTACAACTGAATATGCTGCACACAGGCCGCCTCATGAGTCAGTTGACACGATATTTGAGATATCGCAGTATACTTTCATAAAGGAAACTACTCGAGAAGGGCAAAACCGGTCGTGGGATGTCAAAGGGTTTTCGGCAACCTTGTGAGTAGTTTCCTCTATGAAAAATTCTTCACCTCGTTTACACAAGGCTTCAAGCTTGATTCTGCCACCCAAAACGCTACGAAAATCTGACATTGCTCCTTTGAACTCATCTGCCAGTGAGGTGATCGATAGTGAAGATACTGTCGGACGGTCGTTTGGTCAAAACGGCCATG